TGCGTATATCCCACTTGAATGTCTCGAGTAAACCGGTGACACGCTGATCTACTGAGGTGTAATAGTGAGTTTCGTAAAGCGAATCGCATTTATGGATGAGTGCCGTTTTGAGCTTGCGCGAAACTGCGCCTCGTCGTCACCGTCGTCCTCGCCCTCGTCGTCGCGATGCATTCAATCTCCGTTTCTTCATGTTCATTAGCACGCTGTCTATAGTGTTGCTTACGTCGCTGCTTCGAGGGTGCCCGTTGAAGCACCCTTTTCACTAACCCTTTGTAACTCGCGCTAAAGAGAGTTCAGCAGTGGGTTAGCATGTAGCTTCCCTGGACGCAAATGATACCTAACAGCGCCGTGAGGATAGATTCGATGAATCTCCCGGAATTAAAGAAGGATTTGATGCCAAAGTTTCTTTTTTTTTTTGGAATAGTGAACTCCAAAAATATCGATAACGTAGAAACGTTCGTCAAAATGTCAAAATTTTGCGGATATGCACTAACACAATCACTATACATTGAGAAAAAAAATACTTAGAAGTTTTTTTGTGGGATGTTCCTGTGAAATAAATTTTTATCCTACAAGTAGATTTTCAAGTATTTCTACTCAGTGTATTCAGAGAGAAAACATAGTGTTGACATTTCTTGTACATATATATCTTATATAAATGTGTTGTTTTGTTTTATCACATTTAGCGGCAAACAACCACGTATATGTAGGAATCTTCCTGAAAACTTTTTGTATGTTTTCAAGCTTCTAAATTCAGTTGCAAAATATAGCAATGCTTTTTGGAATTTCTCTAACCGGAGTAAACACACGTTTGGTGTGGAAGCTGCGAAACTTTCATATCAGGTAAATATTTACGCTAACTGACTAGTTCGAGACGTCCATTTTGAAATTTTTTTCATTTTTATTACATATTGAGCGATGTATCAATTTATTTTGCACATACTTTCATTGTGTAAAAGCGTTTGCAATTCTGTGCAAACAGTAGAAAACACTGGGTCTAGATCGCCCCAGGCTTATTTGTAGCTCATTTTAATATTCATTTTAAGAGGAACAGGATATAAAATAAAAATTGATAAAATTGCGAAATATTCCTTTTAGAACATAGATACTTCTCCCTGAGTTTCATTAAAATTGGAATAATATTACAGTTAAAAAGTAGAAAAAAACCGATTTAGTAGTGGCAAAGAAAACTTTCGAACCTCTCGAAATTTTATATTAATATCCTCGTGAATAAATAAAGTTCAGCGACGTGTTATTAGCTAGAATGAAATTTCTTGCAAGTATATAATATACTGTCTTGAATAATAAAAGCAATTTTCATTAATAAAGTGATTGAAATTGAGTATATTAATGAACGTGTTAAAGTTGGCCCATAACTAAAACTGAAGAGCTGTGGAGATCTTTCGCGGAGATCCCAAAATTACTGACCAAGATACATATTTTATATGTGGCCTTCTTTATTCTGTGTTACTGAGAATTTGAACTCGGTACCAGACAAGATGACTACGTTGTTATATGTTTGTATTTTGGTTATTATACAACGAAATATATGGTTAACAGGATCGTGAGTAACAGCATTAACAACATTAAAAGGCTGCTTCTTCTATTTAACAAGAATCAGTTGTCTGAGAAGTATAACTTCGAAACTCTGAAATATGAGGCATCTAACCCCGGTCTTCCCTACTGATACTGTCATTCGGAATCACAAGAATGTTTTACTCAGCCTTAAAATAGAAATTCTGGCTCTATGTGAATAAATATTTCAATCAATTAAAATGAACATGTCCCGATGGGTACATGTAACGATATATACATCAGATTCACTGCTCAAATTCGAAAGGAAATATTCACTCGCTGATTCAAAGTTGAGAACTTTTATATGAATGGAAAGCCACTTGGATTCCAGTGACTCGATGCTTTCATTCTATCTTTTAGGTGAATTTTTATTCCAAGAAATTTGGAGAGTATTTTGTCGGTAAAGTTTTCAAGTATGGCATCTCCTTGTGAAAGTGCATCGCGCGCACATGTGGAGTGAAAAAGGATGGGAAAGAAGAGTGGAGACGGAAAGAGAGCGTTAACGAACTGTTTATTCTCGATCTTCGCGGAAAATGCATTTAGCCGATTACAGCGGATGTCGAATGCGATAATCCCGTGTCGGTGTCGCGCCAATTCAAGCTGCTCTGCAAGCGAAGCGCGTGCATACGCCGCGATTGACGACGATATTGCGGCATACACACACGTAATCCTTTATGCGCCGTATCTCGTCTCGTTATGGCCACTTATCACTTTAGACGGCGTTCGCTCGCGTTGCCTCGTATGTCCCATTATATTTCATTTCCTATGAGCGCGAAAATGTCGGACACTGTACGGTCGGAACTTGCGATTTTCGTCGCGGATAAAAACAGATTCTTCCCACCGTTACACACGTAATGTCGGCATTACGCTATATATAAACGCCGTTACATATATCCGGCCGCGAGCAAGCGAGCAAGCGAGCGAGCGAGCGCGCACGCTTCAGATCCCAGGAAGAAATACATGAAATCGATAGGCTATTTCTGCAATTAGAAGCGTCGTTGAGCGCTTCGAAAATAACATAAATTTAAAGTATATTTTTATGACCCCGATCTCTCGTCGTCCTCACCTCACCGTCCACAGCAGTTCGACTCTTTTTTTCATTAATTTTATTTCACCAGTTCGTTACCCTTATTCTTTCGCGTGACCGCACGTCCTGTGAAGCGAGCGGAACAACACACGGTCGAATAACTCCATTTACTACGTAGGTTAGACTAATTGCGAAATAAATGTCCGCCGTGAATATTACGCCATGAAAATTCATGGGGAGACTTAACGCGCGTACGCGAGTACTTTATCCTATATCGTAATGTGACTTTAAAGTTGTGTGTATATTTATGTCGCGTATATGCTCGTACCTTTCTGCATTAATTACGAAGATTATATCGTCGTTGGTGTAAACTGTTAAATGTACCCCTTGAAGCACCAAAGAGAGAAAAAGAGAGAGAGAGAGAGAGAGAGAGAAAGAAAGAGAAAGAGGAGAGAGAGAGATAAACCAGAAATTTTTTGTCTAAATTCAACTGATCTCATCCAATCTCTCCCCAGTCGTCGTATTATTGTCGCATTGCCCGAAAAAGGAACAGAGTGACGATTCGTCTCGAAAGTTTTGTCGCGTCGGGAGGCAGGAGACCAATCGATATGAAACGGCCTTTTCAGTTTCCTAGAAAGCTCAAGAAATAAAGTGAGGGATATCAGCTAAAAGTAAATTTACATAAATTTATCTAATCTCTCTTCATTTTCTTCGTTTTCGTGTTATCGTTGCGTTGCCGGAAAAGGAAACAAAATGACGATTCGTTTCGAAAACTTCGTTGTGTCGGGAAGCAAAAAGCCAACCAGTAAAACGGTCCAAGGGAGCGAAAAAGAGAGAAATGAGTTTTTAAAGAAATGAGTTTTAAAAAGATATTTATATAACTTTATATCTAATTTCATATCTAATCTTTACCTTTAATTCATATATGTTTACATTTTTTTCTCTTTTATGGTATACCTGGTGGAGTCTCACCCTAGGGGAATAAACATTCCACTCTATTCTCTCTTCTCTCTCTCTCCCTTTCTCTCTCTGTCTCTCTCTCCAGTCGTCGTATCATGGTTACGTCATCCGAAAGGAACAGGAAGAGACGTTTCGCTCTCATTACGATTCTCATAGAATCCTCATAATATATCTCACAATTCTCTCGAGAAGTTCCATCGCGTCGGAAGGCAAGGAAGCAATCGGCGAGACGGCCGTCCTCGATTTTTCTCGATAAAATTACGCGGCAAACGGCAAAATTGCAAATGCTGCGCGCCTGCCTGCACGCCTGCCTGCCTGTCGCGCGCGTGTTTCAGCGGATCGGGGATTAAAGGAACGGGAGAACGCCGGTCGGGCGCGATACGCACGTGTACGTGCGGACGCACATCCACGCGAAATTGCGTGTACACGTCGCGGACACCCGGCGAATTCCCTCGTGCAGGCATGTCCAATCATTGGCGTAGGAATTAGAGTCTCGATGCACATACCTCCTCCCGGCCCCTCCTCCTCCACCTCCCTCCTTCCCCGTGGCGCTCGTCCACCCCCGCGTCGGCCGCCACCCATTCTACCTCCCAGCCGCCCCTTCGCCCCCTTACACTTGGCTCGCCAAATTAATGAACAACGTCAACGTCGGCGGCGTCGGTACGCGGCGCGCATACGGATACGTAAAATTCGCCGACGAATCAGTCGCATTTGGATAATTTCGTTATCTCGTCGCGGCCGGGACTTTCTGCGTGACAGAGCCTTACTCGACCGGGCGATCCCTGCGGGATCCGCGGGAGCGCGTGCGTTTACGCGAAATCGAATCGTGATCGAATTTCTCATCCACTCTGACTCCTCGTGGCTTTCCGAGTTTTCGGAGATATCGTGCCGGCCGGACAGCATGAGAGTCCGATTTGTTTTCTCGGTGCACGATGATATTTTACACGACAAGTGGCGTAGAAATTCCAAGCTGATTTTTTTATAATCGAGATCTCGTCGAAAGCAATCTCTCGGCTTTCTCTCTTCGCGACACTCGACTAGCGAGGCGATCGGATCGCAAGTGAACTCTCTCTCTTTCTCTCCCCCTCTCTCTCGCAAATTCCCCTCGATTGTAATCAGAGAAGGGGAAAAAGCTGCTGGAAATTCTCCGCTATTCTTTCGGAGGTTATCCAGAAACTCGGTATCGCGATCGACCGGCTTCTCGTGCGGGGCGCACAATTTATCCCGCAATGGCAACGCCATTGTCCCGAATTAAGTCTCTCGAGCGTCTCCAACGAGAGACAGAAAGAACAAGAATGAGAGAGAGAGAGAGAGAGAGAGAGAAAGAGAGAGAGAGAGAGAAAGACGTCGCGAAAGTAACGCAACGAAATACGATCACTAGAGGGTTAAACCGTCCCTAACCGACCCGAATAACGATTCTCCGTTTCTCTCTTTGCAGGTTAACGGCGCTGCGGCTACGTCGGCGCGATCCGACAGCAACGACGACAACAACGACGACGACGACGACGTCGCAGCAGCAGCCGCCGCCGCCGCCGACGTGGAAGAAGACGGCATGATCGCGCCGTGGGGCTAGTGGGCTTGAAAATCGCCGCTCGCCCGGTGTCACCCTCCGTCGTTCGTTGTTCTGTGTGGTGGCTCTCTCTCGCTCGCTCGCTGTGCCCCTCCACACAGAGATCCACTGCCCCCGTCTTTCGGGCCGTTCACCACTCATATACTGCCCCGGCCACACATCCACGTGCGTGCGTATCGCGCGTACCGCCGCGTAATCACGCGTACACAGGCGCGGGCTCCGGGACGAAGAAAGAGAGAGAGGGAGAGGGAGAGAGAGAGAGAGAGAGAGAGAGAGAGAGAGAGAGAGAGAGAGAGAGAGAGCGGTCCGCGCAATGCAACGGAAATAAATAATTTGTGAAAGCCAAGTTATTTTCGCGGAATCTATTTGAGTTAGAACTGATGGAAAGTTAATGTACGGAAGAGTCCTAGAAATACTTGAAGCCAGTAAGAAATTGAGATCCTTCTTGATGCAAAAGGATAATTTAATAGTGCTCGTTGTGCTCGTTAATGACATCTATTCTTAAACGTAGCGTTGCAATTTTCCTTTCGCATTCAGACTGCTACTAAAATTGAGCTTTTTGCTGATAAACTTTGCAGTGATCGAATATATCGAATAATTGGAGATTTGCGTATGCTCAAGCACTATATATAATAAAGTTTCCCAATGTTTCTCTCTCGTAACTGCATCTGCATTGAATCGATCGATATTATTTTGAAATTCACGCGATTCCGTTCAATTGCAAGCGGTCAAAGGGAATCAATAATCGAAAGCTTTGAATACTCAATAGGTCCCTCATGGAAAGTAATCATTTTTCTTTTGCGGGTATCGAAAATCAATTCATTAACGTAACCATTCTACGCAATTCTGTTGCTAAATCGTCTACTTCAACGCTTTCGAATATTTTCCCTATGCCATGCACATATCTATTGCAAAAAGTGAGCATAATTGGATCGATACTAATACTTGGAAATTCCTCTTTTCCCTTCCATCGGTGCTTATTGAATGTATAATTTTCACCATTAGCACTCCCACACACACACACACACACACA